ACAACAAACTATGACCTACACAATTTGGGCTCAGTACAACCTGTGCCTAGGCTTCCTCTGTAACCTTAGGCAGGTCATAGATTGCCAGATTTGAAGAATTATTCATAAATTTGAGTTTCCTCAATTTTTGGTTGTCCATGAAGAAACCTTTGCTCCAGATCCTATTCCATCTAACACTTTGGTATGAGTGTAGTTGTGATCCAATTTCATCCTGCCTGTGTCCTGGAAAACACTGTTTTGTCTACCTCAGACTTATGTCTTAAGACAGCATAGAAATATGGAGGGCTTACCTAACTACTTTTTGCATTTATAGTTCTTCAGGGGCTTGAAGCAAGTAGAATAGGATGACACTTTAGACACCTAATAGATGGCACAGAACCTGGTCCCTTCTATCTGGTTTTTCAGTAAGACTGATGTGTTGCTTTCAAGTAAAGGCACCCTCTAAGGATAGAGAGCTGTGTCTTAAAGAAAAAAAAAAAACGTTACTTTAGATCTGGTAGACAGTTAGAAAACCAGGTACACCTCCTCACCAGAACATAAACTGCTTTAACCAAAACCTTAGGGCTTCTATACACATGCAGTGAGGCTGCTCTGACACACTGTAATTACAGCATAATCCAGCATCACATGCATCCCCATGCTGAAAAATGGCAGCAGGGTGCTTTACACTAAAGCTTTTACAAGCTTTAGTTCAAAGCACCCTGCCACAATTTTTCAGCACAGGGATGTTGATGCATGTGATGCTCCAGGTGCTCTTGGAGGTGCACTAAATTATAGCGCCCTCCCCTCTGCCTCCTGAAACATGTTTATAAATGCCCATAATTATCCACACCAAAACAAGGTAACATCCCCTGCTATCTGTAATACTACACCTGTTCCTTCAGCATGTTCCCCTTTAATATCTAGATAATCAAAGGTATACTGTATAAAGAAACACTGTCTAAAGTTCTTGGAACCAATTGCTACAGTGTCAGTAAACTTAATAACTAAAAATGGCAAAGAAGACCTGAATGCATAAATACAGACAGACTTCTTAAAAACACATTTAGGCAGAACTCTGTAAATATGCCACATAGAAACTATCTACCAGTTTTATCTCAAGTTACTTTATGTCTGTTTGCATGTTTTGTCCTTTTCTGTGCTTTTATACATATACTACATATAATGACATTATGATGATTATCAGTGAAAACCAACAGCATCAATCTACGTAGCTGTAGTTAAATACATTTTATTTAATGGCTACTGCTGTTTTTCCAATTTGTGGTACTACTGTTTATTAAAGAAGCAAATGAAACTTCAAAAATTTACTTAATGGTGAAGACGTAAGTGGGAGAGATTTCAACAATTTGCTAAATCAAATAGTGTTACAGTAAACATGACCCAAATTTTTTATGCCTAAGAGAAAGCCCTTTCTAGCAGAATCTCCTTCTGAGTGTATAACCCAGTAAGATTAGCAACACAAAACACTATTTATAAAAAATAAGATTCAATAAAGATTCTTCTTACAATGTGGATGGATTCATGTATAGGAACTGAGGACTAACACTGCCTCAAAAAACATTCAAGATGATACAGTCATTACTAGTATAATAATGAAACAAAACAAAACAAACAAACAACACACATGGACCAGTTGACTCTTAAACACCATTCTAAAGCTTTGCTTCCTGTATTGTGCAGATATAGTCTTTTTAAAAAAGACTCACAAAAAGTTGATCACAAAAAGAGCATCCAATGCTACTCCCCAGTGTTTTCAACATGGTATGCATATACTATGCCAGCATTCTGAAGCAGAAAATATTTTGGTAACACTATTTGCCTTTGCAAACAAAATACTGTCTTGACCTACATAGAAGATGTAGGTCTTTCACATTTCACAATGAAATAATATTTGTGAAAAAATGATGTGGCATTTTGGTATACAGAAAGAGTTATTTACTTCACAACAGAAAAAATAAATATTAACAAAAACTGTCTTCCACATTATTAAATGAACACATCAAATTAAAGCAAATAGATTTCATAGACATTAGGGCTGGAAGGGACCTCGGAAGATCATCGAGTCCAGCCCCCTGCCCCAGGGGCAGGAAGTCAGCTGGGGTCATAGGATCCCAACAAGATAAACATCCAAATTTCTCTTGAAGGCATTCAAAGTAGGTGCTTGAACCACCTCCGATGGCAGGCTATTCCAAACCTTGAGGGCTCAGACAGTAAAGAAATTCTTCCTTATGTCCAGCCTGAAATGGTCCTGGAGGAGTTTATAACTGTTCTACCTTGTCATCCCTTGGGGCGCTCTGGTGAACAAATGTTCCCCCACGTCCTGGTGAACACCCCTGATAAATTTATAGGTGGCCATCAGATCGCCCCTGAGCCTGTGCTTTTCCAGGCTGAAGAGTCCCATGGCTCTCAGCCTCTCATCATAAGGCCCATTTTCCTGACCTCTGATTATGCGCGTGGCTCTTCTCTGGACTCTCTCAAGCTTCTCCACATCCTTTTTGAATTGTGGAGCCCAAAACTGGATGCAGTACTCCAGTTGCGGCCTCACCAAAGCCGAGTACAACAGGAGAATGATGTCCTGGGATTTGCTTGAGAAGCATCTGTGGATGCAAGCCAGTGTTTTGCTTGCTTTACTAGCAGCAGCATCACATTGAAGGTTCATATTCATGTTCATATTGTTAACGTTTGTATCATGCCCATTAATAGAAAGGTTTAATGAAATGTGCACAGGTTTAATTAAGTGTACACAACCTGAAGCTAGTGTCAGGATCTATGACTGCAGAGATTAGAATTGAAGGAGATTGAGGATCTTAAGTAAGAAAGAGTTTATGAAAGTGGACTAGCTCTTGCCAGCAGATAGTTCAGAGATCAGTGTTATTTTCTGTGGATCAGACTTCACTACTCTCAGAATATAGCTAGCTATCTGAGAACATGTAAATAGCAGTTATAAGGTCAGAGTTACAACAGGTTCATCATTCATGCCTCACGTTTTTGCAAGTTTAATTCAAACCTAACAATAGCTTTAATAAAAGTGAAAAAAAAATCAAAATGACAATATATTGAGATCTGAAATACTGAAAATCATATTAATCTCTGATTTAATTCCAATGAAGTCAACTGAGGTATCAAGGACATCAGCATACACAACACATATAAGCAGCGCCAAAAACATTTTAATTTACAAATGGACAACTAAAAAGATATTAAACTACTGCATTTTTGCTTCTTCATCTGCATCCTTTGCTTGCAGACTTCCCTCTTCAGTGACCTGCAAAACACATTTGTTTTTAAAATATAGTT